ACGATTGAACCAGCCCACCCCTCTGAATCCTAGACAGATAAGCAGCAATTTGTTCTTCGGGAACAGATTCATTAGCTTCAATAACTGACCTCGAATAATTAAAAGACTCACCAGAGGCATCCGATTGCTCAAACTTGCTCATAATTCCAGCATCGGCATTGTATTGCACAAGTGCCGCAGCTCTGTTGCCGGTGCTAGTGGTGTTACTCGGACGAGCCCTCATATTGCTATCCACCGAGGACGAAAACGCCATCGCTCCTCTTTCTCCCCTCCGATTCTTCTCCATGATTTAACTGTAAGAATTCAAGTGAAAATTGTTGGATTGATTGTTCAAAGAAACTGAGCGAGCAGGAACTTAATCTTCATCAGTGAAGTTGGTGATTGTCTTGCTCGATTCGTCGCTGCAAACAAGTTCCGTACGTCTCTTTCGAAAGAGGAGCTGCTTCGCTTTTGGCTTTTATCTTCCCAAGAAGTGGCTCGTCGTCATCCATTGTCGTCGATTCATAATCCATCACTGTATTTAGCATAGAATTTACTCGCCTTGATTTTGGATTAGCATAAACTACCGTTCCTTGTCTCCCTGGCGCCTTCCCCTTTCATGTATATATATATGTATGTATGTATATATGAATGTATATATATGTATGTATGTATACATATATGTGTGTATATATGTGTATATATATATATATCCCATTTGAAAAAGAAAAAAAAAAATCTCTAAGATTTTAAATTTTACCCGTGAGACATGACCATGGCCTCGACCCGAAAAATCTTCATCCGAGTATGAACTTTTTACCTCGTAAGGGTAACAAATGACCACGGTCTCAACCATTTCTAGCTCGAGTTTCTATAATTTTTGTTTTTTTTTCATGATTAGGCTTCTCAAATCTGATCTGATCATGTCGCTACTCTCAGGATTTTTAGATGAATAGCGACAATGGATCGACTTTTCTTTTAGTTTTTTTTGGATATGAGCTTTAGTTCCTCTTGTATTCTCCATTGTTCAAATTTTTCTTTCTTCGGATCTCAAATCAAATTTTCTGTCTTGAACTTTTGTCGAGGGACCTTGATTGTCTAACATCTCCATGATCTCGACTATGTTTTGATCCATTCTTCTCGTTCTTTTCTTGAGCGATACAATCTCTTCCTCTAACTGTTGGGAACGAGGCTCAGAATGTGTTATTCTCGTGTTCTTTGCAAATGATGATCGCCATCATATATAATAGTGATTTTTTTTTTTTTAATGAAGGAAGAATACGAGCTACAAAAGATAAAGAAACTACACATCAGTTTGGTGCTCGTTATACTCGACGTTGGAATTAGCTTAGGAGAATTTTGATTATAGTTAGGGTTTAAAGTATCGAGAAGAGGGAGCTACCTAAGGAAGATATAGCAAATTAGGTTAGTGAACCAAACTGAATCGAATTGAGACACTACAAGTTGCATTTCCCCTTACGAGTCCAACCCTAATCTTAGTCTTGGCTAATTGTCGAGGCCGAGAAGGTCGATTTAGGGTTTGACCCAATCCCCTCTTCTTCTCTCCGAGACTCGAGCCTTGTGTATTTTTATAAATTTATTTTACATAAAAAATTAGGGTAATCAAAATTACATAAAATTTTTTTATCACAGTTTAGAAATTTTCGAGTTTTAGAAAAATTCTCCGTTTTTAGAAAAATTTAATAATTTCAAAGAATATTTTTAATAGATAATTTTAATTTGATCCACGATCTCCTTTCGGTTGTGGTCCGCCCCAGAGGTTAGCTTGAGTTAGATTTTGGAGGCTGGATTACACGTAAAAACTCTAGACTATGACGATTTTCAACTCAATGTGTTGCGTGTGCGTAGGACCGTCCCCCACTCCCATCTTACTCTCTTCACATTCTTTTTTTACTAGCTCGTAAAAATATTGTTTTTAGCAAAATCTTGATCGTGGGTCGTGTCTAAAATAAATATTAAATTTCAAAATATATATATATATATATATATATGTATATATCTATCTATATATATGTATATATCTATCTATATATATATATATATATATATATATGTATATATCTATATATATATATATATTGAACTGAAATAAGATTCGACCCACAGGCTGAGCTGAGGGTAGAAATGGACAGCTCGCATTGAAGAAATGGGACCACTCGTTCTATTAAAAGAAAATAATATTAATTTGTCCACTTTCCAAAAAAATAAAAAAACATATTTTTCATGTAATTTATGTGGTTGAAAAATTGGGATATTTTATTATTTAAATAAATAAAATACCAAACATAATCACGTGCTATTGGGCCACTGCCTCGTGCAACCACTCGTTTTAGTACCCATCAAAACCTTTCCTTGTGCTAATTTTCTTTTTTAAAACAAAATTTCTCTTAAAAATATTTAAGTTAAATTAATAAAAATATTTTTAAATTTTATTTCTAATATATTTTAATTTTTTTAAAAGTCTGAGTAATAATCTTAATTTTTCAAAAAAATAAAAAAATATATTCTTATAATTATAGGGTTTGTCAACGGAGGATGGACACGAGATATCAAAAAAAAAAAATAATAATAATAATAATAATACAATGACAACCATAAAAAGAATACAATTAACTAATGCCCCGGGTCGACACCCCTTTGTGATAGTGTAGCTCCCGAACAGCTCCCTACCTTGACTGATACCTGGAAAGAAAGGGGAAAATGAGTGAGTATAAAAAAAAATATTCAATAACTAACCTACTTGTAAGCTCTTATTGCTTTCACCCGGAGCACATATCACAGTATCACTTCCTCCAATCTACCATAGCGGGAGACATTAAATTAGACATGTTTCTCAATTTTCTCATTTTAAGGGAAATTTCGTAATTTTATAACATACGTGTCATATTCATTCAAATTGTTCATTCTAAGTCCGGATCATGCATATTTTAACTACCTAAGGTAAATTATGCTTGCACCTTAACACGTCTTATCGATCCCTACAAGTATTACTTGCTTATAGTCTAAGTGGTTATTTACCGGGATGAAGTGTGCCCTCCTTACCTTGTATTTATGCTCGTTGTAAGTCCCAAATTTCTTAAAATTTTGTTGGTAGGTCGTGAATCAAGTTCAATTAGCATTAGTATTGAAATCGGAATGAAATACAATCAAACGACAATTAAATTGGGCTGGCTTTGCTTTGGGCTTCCCAAAAGGTCTCATACGAATAGAGTTAATATTCCTCACTTATAAACCCATGATCATTCCCTAAATTAGCCGGTGTGGAACTTTCATCATCCAACACCTCCCCTCGAACAAAGCACGTCTCCCTTTAATCGAGGCTCGACTCCTTTTTTCTTTTTGGAGTCCTTTGTTCGACATTCGAGGATTTGCCAATCTATTGGCACGGCTAAGTTTAGGGCAGGCTGTAATACCATGTTAGACGAACACGACTCTCCACAATGGTATGATATTGTCCACTTTGAGCATAAGGACTTCCCAAAAGGCCTCATTCCAATGGAGTTAGTATTCTTCACTTATAAACCCATGATCATTCCCTAAATTAGCCGATGTGGGACTTTCATCATCCAACATCACGCACCAAGTCATGAGCCATAAAGGCAACCCATGTGCAAGGACCGATGCGCGTTTGATGGTCTACTCACGTTCTAGTTGTGCACCAGTTCACAGATTCAAGTCCAAGGGCGTTGGTTCGATTCTTGAGCAGCGCGTTATTTTTCTTAGGATATCTCTCAAATTTTTTATTTAATCTATATACTTTTATTTCTAATATTTTTAAATCAAATAAAAAATTTAATTTTAATATTGTAAAAATTAAATTTAAATTTAGTAAATTAGTTAATTTTTAAAAATTTTAAATTTGTGAAAAAAATAAATGATTTAAAAAAGTTTAATGGCTAATTTTCTTATAATATTTTCAGAAACTAAATATTTCCATTTTATGCGGAAATAAAAGTAGCAATGATTGGAGTATTTTAAGAAATAGGTTTCACTATTGAGGTTAAATGCAGACATATGCAATCATGAATGAGACTTATTATTTAAAGTAGTATTTTCTTAGGTGACTATCTTAAGCGGGATCACTGGATGTGTATTTATTATTCTACACACGACCCACACGTGCAAATATAGACCCACCAGTCGGTTTGTATACCTCCTAGACCATTTTTTTTTGGTCGGGCTAGCAGTTTTTGGTGCTATTGTCGGACACTTGGTAGGAATAGTGACTGTTGGTAGCATTATGATAAACACAATAATCATTTTTCTTTTCGTGATGTACGCGTCCGAACCTACTGTAAACGGAAAAATTCTTCAATGCATGAGATCCTAATATTTTTCATTTATCAAACCATGTAAAAATAACCTCTTCCATTTTCCTTCATATCATATCATTTTATAACATAGCCTTTAAAACATATATCGGAGTTGTATACCGTGTCGAAACATATTTACTGTGTATCATTCATGTCAGACATCGTATTTTGTTATATTATGCACGTAACATGTCCTTCAACATACTATATCATATCATAACACTTCACACATATCAAATGTATGACACGTGCAGAACCACGAAGCACATGTCGTCATACAAGATACAAACTTCTAACCATACCGATAATAAAGTAACTTATTTAATTAGTGTCACTAATCTATTATTAAAGAAAGTTTGATTTTATCATTTGAAATCCAAATCAACGCTAAACAAAAATTATTGTCATTTAATTCTTAATTCAAATCTAATTAATTGTAATTAAATTATTATTCGATAGAATAAAGAAAATATGTAAAATATGAATATTGGCTTTTTCAAATCTAAGTTACGGAGTTATTTTAGGAAAGGAGTGGTGAGAGGTGGATCGAGATTAAGATTTTTTTTTTTTTTTTTTTTTTTCTTCTTCTAATTTTGTAATTATTATAATTTTTTAAGTTGTTACAAAATAAAAAAACTTTGGTAATATTTCTGCTATCCATTATAAATTGAAGAAACTGAAAATAAGATTGACGTGTTCGAGTTGAACGACAATTGGCCCAATCACTACACTTCGGTTAGGCGGCTCTGGATTCTTCGTGTTCATCAGTCAGGCAAGCGACGATTTGCTTGTTGAATCAAAACTAGAGAATCGAAAGCATCGTTTACGGTCCAAATCTGAGAGAAGATAGAAGCTGAACCAGACAACGGAAGAAAGGGGAAATGGTTTGTGTATTATCTTCTGCTATTTCACTTCACAGTCCCTTTCTACACAAATCCAAGCTATCCGCCCCTCTCTCTCTAAGATCCTCTCTGCCGAATGCAAAACTCACGTTTAATCCTGCCGCTAAACAGAGCTCGATATGTTCTAATCCGATCAGGTAATTTCAGGCTCCAGAATCATGTCAGTCCGTTTGAGTAGTGATTTTGGATTAAAAATTTGTTAGTATTGTTAAAAAATGAAAAGATGTTTGACCAGGTTTGGTTTCGGTAGCGACGTGAGTTCGACGTTGGCGATTAATAAGAAGAGGAGGCGTGGTTTGAGTGCTGTATGTTACGCGATGCCTCTTTCTGCTCGCAATCTTCAGTGGATCTCTACTATTTCTTCTGTGTAATTATCCTCTCGCTCTCTCTTGATCATGTGTGAAATAAGCATAGCATCATCATGTCTAATATAGATGATCTTATTATATTATTCAAGTTGTGCTGTTAATCATCGATGTTGGCTCTCTCAACGATGGATTTTACGACTTCCGATCTTTGAGACACGATTCTGTAGAATGAGGATTGAGTACTCAAGAGTTGTTAAATGTTTTGCTAAAATTCGTTTGCGTCCGCTATGTAAACAATTGCGTTTAAGTTGATAACATTCAGTGGCTACTTTTATATCTCCAACCGTCATTATGTTACAACGATCACCTTGATCTGCTGTTTCAGAGTCCATTGCACGTATCAAAGTAAAATTTTAAAACCCTAGATTTCTTCTCCAGGATTTTAATGCTCGCAAGGGGGACTGGGATCCAGAAGTCATTTATCGTTCCGCTATTTGCTCTTCAGGCTCCTGCAAGTGTTATCTCGTGGATTAAGTAAGCCTCTTGAAATCTCTTTATATACTGCCATCCCTTTTCCCCTTACGATCACATAGATGCATCATGCGTTGATTGTCTTTAAGAAGTTTAATTTAGTCCTTCTAAGATCAGTATCTATCAGCAAGATTTATGAGCTATTAGTTCTAACTGGGCTAATGTTTTGGTTCTAACTTCAATTTCAGAGGAGAATATGGCATTTGGAGCGCATTTTTGGCCCTTCTTGTTCGTCTGTTTTTCTTCATCCCTGGTATAGTCTCTCCTGATCTACCTCACACGATCATCTATGAATTTAATTGCTGGTTATCATTCACTTTATCCTGAAAGGAACTTAGTATATAGCTTGGCTCGAAACTTATTTATTTGAACCTCATTTTATTCAATTCTTGAAAGCATTCCATTTTGTACAATCCATTGAATGAGTAGAAAATTCATAGGAAGTCGGATGCTGGATTCTTTTGGATGTAGGTGAACTCGAAATACCATTCATATCATTACTTTTGGTGATTGTGGCCCCATATCAAGTCCAAAACTTAAGGTACACATTTGAACTCTTGATCAAATTGAACTTCATAATTTTTCCAATCTCAGCATTTATTATTATCTCCCATTGGCAGGGGAACTCAAGAAGGGACCATCATCTCACTACTGATTGCAGCATATTTGGCTTTCCAGCATTTCTCTCGAGCTGGCAGCTTTCGGAGAGCTTTTGATCAGAATTCAATTGTTGCAACAGTGGCAATCATTTGTGTAACGGCTGTCTCATTCCTGCTCGTGATCTGAGTTCTTCAGTCACTCCCAAGTAAACCTTATATTGGTTAAATCTTCCTTAAATAATACTGGTCTACTTTTAACAGTTACACTACAGTCGCAATGTACAGACCTTTCCTTTTTATGTTGATGAGTGACTATGAATAAATTTTCCTTTCTTTTTTGGGTCAATCATTAAAATTATTTCAAACTTTATTCCTGAGCTCCAATCGATGAGTCAGAAGTTTAATAGCATCGATCCTAGTTATATATGCAAATTTGTGAACCTGCCTTCTATCATCAAATTACACAGTGAATAATCATACATTTGACAAAGTGGTCTTTCATTAATAAAGCTGAATCTGACTCTTGTGCAAGGTGAAGCCTGAGTACAATGCCTCTTCCCTGGAAAACCAACCTAAAAGCTTCCAAATGGAATTGACTTATCGATATCCTTTTATTGGTTAAAAGCTTCCAAAATGGAATTGACATATCTATATCCCCTTATTGACTAACAATGTAAATTATCGTATAGCTAGCATGTGACCTATTTATTTCTTTAGTCTACTAATTTGTGTTCCTGTGGACTTAGTTTTTCTAATACATATCTTGGTGTAACAACAATAACTTGCTATATAATCTTTCTTTTGTATCATATTGATGTCTAACAATGCAAAAATGTGCAGCAAATAAGCGATTGCCATCTCTCTGTGGAGAGAAGAAATGAGATTCCTTCTGCTTACAGATGATTTGCCACAAGCGAACCCAAAAGGTAAGTCATGGCCAAGAGCAGCAGTGATCGTTTTGATATTGAAGTGGCTGAGCTGGGCATGCCTGATGGTTCTGCACCATACATCGATGGATCTGTGGGCGTAAACGTTGGGTTCGTGGGAGCCGGCGGTGTCATGGTTGGTATTGTGGTGATGGGCGGTGTTGGTGTTGGGATTACAGGCGGCGGTGGTGTTGGGTTTGGAACTGCAGGTGGAGGGGGGCTGTGAAAAGTACGTAAAACAAATTAGTTTTTTACTTTATTTTGGTCTAAATAGTTTTGTTTTTGCTTACTAAACTGAGTTCTTTTTTCTTCTTTTGTTGGGTGAAGTATAGTCTCATAGTAAAATGAATGAAGGAGCCCTTATGGGATTACCTTGGTACAGCTCTGGATGTTGCATAGTGACAGTTACCATTACCTGCAGTAATGTTGAAAGGATGGTTAAAAGAAATTATAACAGACCAATTTCTTAGATTTTATTTCATTTGTCAAACCTCAGAATTTATCTCTACTAGGAAAGGAGGAGGAGAGAGAGAGAGAAGGGAACTATGCTCACTCATAAAGGGTTGAACGAAAAATAGTAGTACAACACAAATGGAGTAACTACAAAGGAAATCATAATTTGTGAGTTAAAATATATGTACTTTGTAGTGTGGTCAGTTTCTTTTGTATAAAAGCTGTTAGTAGTAGGATTAACGGAATGAAGTATGAACTCTGTAACAACCCACACCCACAACTAACAGATATTGTCCTATTTGGGCTTTCCCTTTTGAGCTTTCTCTCAAGGTTTTAAAACACCTCTACTAGGGAGAGGTTTCCACACCCTTATAAGGAATGTTTCCTTCTCCTCTCCAACCAACGTGGGATCTCATAATCCACCCCCCTTGGGGGCACACCGCCCGGTGTTTGGCTCTGATACCATTTGTAACAGCCTAAGCCCACCGTTAAGAGAACAATATCTACGAACGATGGGATTGAGATGTTACAAAACTCTGTATTCACTAATCCTGATTTAAGCAGTTTTGTAGTTAAAAAATCTCTCAGAATTGTTTACCGAAGGTGATAACAGGGATTGATTATGATTCAAAAAGGTAAAAGTTGTCATACTTGGGTCTGTGCTAACAAGTTGAGCTGTTCCTCCAAAAACACAGCTAGTAGCCGCTGGATTCTTCTGGTAATAGTCATTGAACGCATAAGAAGCATGGTCCTTCACGGTGTTGGGGTCATAGCAGCTCCCACCTGGCTGAATCGCTGAACAGTCTGCACCGCCATAGCCACAGGCGTAGTCAAGAGCCACCTGTAGAGCAGTCGGGGAAGCAGCAGAGCTTGCAATACACCATGAACCTCCACCAGAGTTCCCAGGCCCTGTGGTGGGAGTCATCATATTAGGGTCTACTGAGTTCGGTACAGTCTGTGGCGACGTAGTTGGGTTTACTGTTGGAGTTTGAACTTCTCCTGGCGTTGTCGCTGGGTTTACAATTGGGGCGTCATCCAACTGAGTGAAATGTACTGAAGGAGAGAAGATCTTTCTGTCTTCTTCACTCTGCAGAGGTATGTCTTGTTGATTTTCTTCTTGTATAGGAGGTTTCTCTGCAAAACTTGAACCTGAAGAGGTAAAACTACATCAGTTTTTCACCTTTTTTGGTAAAATTTACCGCAATTACTGAAATGTTAGCAAGTTACGTTCCTGGATAGCATGTTTATACATCAGTTTTTCACCTTTTTTGGTAAAATTTACTACAATTACTGAAATGTTAGCAAGTTACATTCCTGGATAGCATGTTTATACACTTCATTTAGTTTATATGATTTTCGTTTCAATGCATTGATGTAGCACAATTTTGGACTCTATTTGGATGCTATAAAGTTGTCTAAACCAAAATAAAGGCATTTATCCAACACAGTTCCAAGGATTAGAATTGCATGAGAAATTCAATACGAATTGACAACATCTATAATTAACACTATGAAAAAAGTGAATATGAAGAACACTTTGGAATCACTTCCATATCTAACAATTTTATGTCATTTTGTTTGCAGAGATCGACCTATCGACCTATCAACCTGATATGCTTCAACATTTCAAGCGTAACTCAACTAGACAAGACACGTACTCTCAGCTGGAAATTCTAAGGTTCGAATTCTTCTACTCCCATAGAAGAAGTATACTTAAAAACAAACTTATCTTTTACTTGCTTGCTCTTCGATTCTCAAACTATAACAGTCTAACAATGAGCATGAAAATGGCTACAAAAGAAACAAGCGTAAATCGACCTTTACCTGAGAAGAGTAAGAACAATAGTGCCAAATTCCTGAGAATGTTGGAACCCATCACTCTAAGTTGTCTGTGATTTGCTCTTCTGGGATTTAGTAGTAATAATGAGAGAGAAGCCAAGCTTTAATAAAACACATCAAATGAGAGAGCAGACCAAAACTGTTGCTGAATAGTACTGATTATCTTTTCACTGTAAATTATTTTTATTCATAAAACTTAAGAATCAAAGCTTTCTTGGATCACCAAGAAGAAAAAGAATATAAGAAAACTTGAGAAAGCAGGCAATGAAGTAGTTGGATACCACAAGCAATAGAAAGAGCCCACAAAAAAAAAAAAAAAAAAAAAAAAGGCAAAATAGCAATCTATGGGGTTGGTTTATGTTTTCAGAACATCTTTTTTTGGAAATCCTAAGGTTGTGAATATTGATTCCCGTCGAAGCGAAACGGTTTGAGTTTTGTGAAAGAAGCCGAAGTCCCTTATCGGATTTGAACCAATGATCTACGCCTTATTGAGTTAAAAAGGCCCATTTGATTCAAGTTCTGAACGAAGTCGTTCCTTCGTAATTTTTCGAGCACCATTTTTTAAGACGAAAATAGGAAGACGAAGTAGTTAAGTGAAACTTGGGAGTCAGTGTGGATATTTGATTCAATTTCTGAACGAAGTCGTTCCTTCGTAATTTTTCGAGCACCATTTTTTATGAACACTAAGTAGTCAAGTGAAACGTGGGAGTCAGAGTGGATATTTGATTCAATTTTTGTACGAAGACGTTCTTTCGTAATTTTTCGAGCACCGTTTTTGAAGAAAAAAGGAACACAAAATAGTAAAGTGAAACTTAGGAGTCGATATTTGATTCAATTTTTGAATGGTTCCTTCGTAATTTTTTTAGAACAATTTTTGAAGATGAAAATACAAAATAGTCGGAGTGAGTGTGGAGCAAGGGAATTTTATGTTTTTGGTCTGTAATGAAGAATATTGTCTCCTAACTTTGCTGGATGATGGATTCAAGAATATAATCTTCAAACATTCAAATGGGAATAAATTTTGATACCTTGTTATAAAGAATATGCAGAGCCACATGCTTTTAATTTCCCTAATTTAATATTTGGATTAAATATTTATATAGATATTGAAAATAATATATATATTTTGGATCTTGAATTTTTTTCATTGTTTGGATATATTGAAACCAAAACAGAGAAATTTCCCAAATCTATTTTTCTTTATTTTTTAATAAATGATAATAATTTTTTTCTCGCAATTTTTAAATAAAATTTTCTTATGTTCACATACAGATTCCTTTTAATATATATTTTTTTTTATTATTTCTTAAAACTCCATTGGATAATTTTACATATTCTATTATAAAAAATAGAATATTTCTTTGCTATAAAAAAAATTAAAAAAAAAAACCTAAAATTCGTATCCATAACACCCCCTTACAAAACTAAATTGTTGTTGCTATCTTTGAAAACCTAAATTGGTAGATTTAGATTGGGATCTGTTTACTTTTTTCGATCGATTTCTAGTTTGAATTCGTTTAAAATTTAGCTACACAAATACTTTGAATGATCAAACTCTGGGCGGGTTGCCAGGTTTTGCCTACGGGAAATTATAAATCTTCAATGACCTATGGACGGTTTCTATTTTCAAGTTTCTTTTAAATTGCATCACAAAATTTAAAGTTTATTTGTGACTATTGAAACAAAATTTTAGTATTTTAAAATATACTATTGAAAGAAAAACTAATAATTTAAGTGTAGTTTCTATATATCCCAAATCACTTTCTGCAAAAGTAGAGCAGTTAGGGAAAAAAAAAGTGACCCACAATCTCGCATCTTAATCACATTAGTTAACCAATTTTCAAGTTATGCTATGTCTGGTTCGAATAGTTGTTTTTAAATATATATATATATATATATATTTATTGATCCAGCATTTTCTCGATTAATCAAACAATAATCTCTCAAATTTTGTAGATTTCTTTGCAAATGTCCGTAGACATGGTTCAATTTCATAAGATTCAAAATAAAAAATTAGTCCATTCATAATCAATTTAGTTAATCTGAGTCAATTTAGTAATCTCCAACCTTCTTTGCGATCCAAATTACACGTTTCTAAATATATATAATATATATATATATCTTTGATCGATAGACATTTATATTTGTTTTTTTTTTCTTCGTATTCTTAAATTTTCAAAATTTAGTTACAATTAATATTACTTTATTTTCTTCTTTTCATAAATAAATAAAATAGCTAACACGACAAGGTTGAAGGTTGTATTAGATAAGAATATTAGTTGAAAATAGTAACAAAAATTTAGTGGTTTAAACAGACTAAAATATACATGTTGAGGTAACTCTAGTTAAAAAAAAAAAAAAAAAAAAAAAAAAAAAAAAAAAAAAAAAAAAAAAAAAAAAAAAAAAAAAAAAAAAAAAAAAAAAAAAAGTGTTTTCTTGGCCACACATCCTTTAATAACTTAGTACTTCCAAATCGCTAAATTATTACATGCTAAAGTTTACTGACTAAATAATTATTTATTGGTTGAAAGTACATAAACTAAAGTTATTAAATCATTTATTCCCTGAAAATACTTAGAGACCAAAAAATGAATAAGAGTTTCTTTATCACATCCAAAGAGTATAAACCAAGCAAAATGGTTTATTGCCAGAATGAATGAGGCGTTTCTGACTGAAAGAAAGTATATAATGGACCATTTCTTCAAGCTGACGAATTCTCAAACAATCTGATGTTCAAGAACGTTTGACCATTGTCACTACTAACCATTTACAACAAGCAAACAAGAAGATTCAAGTTTTCTTAAAAACAATCACAAAAAAGGTATTCTATGGCCTCTAATTGCTTAAGAGAGGGGCTTATTAGATGCAAAACTTCTCCATGGTTCTTGTCTGCACCTCTCAGTGAATCTACACTGAGATAAACTGATTTTGATCCACTTTCATGCCCTGAGCTTTATGCAAATTGAGCTGCAAATCTAGAGATCTCAGAACAAGACACTCTAAAGAGGGAGGAGCAGTAAAAAGGCAAGCGAAAGAAGACCGAGAGGGCACGGGGAAACCTGCGTTATCCTTGATGAAGGATGGAGCACTGTGAAAGACGTTCAGTGACATCAGTCCATGCTGCAATAAAGGGGTATTCTTGTTAGGTGAGGTTGACCAGATTCCTCTCGTTCTTTGGAGGGTAATTTACTCTACCTGGGAAGTTTTGGAAGTCGGGTTCGATTCCATTTCCATTTATATCTTTGTGATTTGGGGTAACATACTTCCCAACAGTGACTGCGACACCAGATCGGTCGTGAAGCTCGAAAACAGACTGAATCAAACCCTGTCAATGAAGATGAAGCGAGTACAATTTATGGCAATTCAGATTGCTAGTTCAACTAGACAAGTAGAAAAGAAACTCAAAAAACATTCATGCAAGGGTGAATTTGGAAGGAGGTACAAAGAAGTCACATGTAAACATTGCAGCATAGCAAAAAGAAAATTGAAGTTAATATAATAAGAACATACGAAAAAGACTAGCTAAAGCTGAGGTAAATATCTTAAACCTTGCCATAAGTCCTTTCTCCCACAAGAACAGCTCTGCAATTATCATGCAGCGAGGAAGCAACCTGAAATAAGAACAACTCGAGTGAGTAAAATACAAGATCATAAAATGGATTCACATGTTATTCAGTTGATTGAGGCACTCACAATTTCACTTGCACTTGCAGTTTTTTTGTTCACAAGAACCTGTATGAATTGTGGTCGAGAGCATTATAATTAAGTCCATACATTGAAAGTATATGCCAATTAATCAGTGTATATTTTAGTGTAAAACAAGATGTAACTAAGCGTCATCAAACAAATTAGATTTACAATGCTGGAAATGAATGTTTTAAATATCAAATATTGGGCAGAATTAGATTTTGCAGGAGAAAAGGAGGTTCTGATTCAGCTGCCTAAAACATGAAATTTGAATAAAGCTGACTTTCAAATTTTAATTCAAGGAATATCTGCAGCAACTTAACTAACATTTTAGCCAAAGAACATGCGTGCTAGTTATTTTTTTTTAATGTATAAAATTAATTAAAACCGGTCCATTCAAATAGTTATTTCATCATCCTAGTTAGATGCCTGCTTCAGCGAGTTGCATTCATATTCATCTGTACACATTGAAGACTAACACTAAACTGGTGTCAGGACAATTATTATGCTTTTCCCCATATTGTAAAGAATTATTCGTTATAAACCTAAAAAAAATACAATTTTCCTTTCCTCAAAATCAAAACAAGCAAGAGGTTCATCGATGAGACCAGCATGGCAGGTAGGATCCATCACATCCATTTTTTACACGTCACCTATTGACATATATGAACAAAGTGCGATTCCCTCTCTTTATAATCAAAACAAGAATAAGGTTAAGTAACAGACCAGCATGGTGATAAAGATTTATTACACCCATTTTTTTCAAGTTACCCTTCCAAATTACTGAGGCATATATACCTTCTAAAATGCGTTTGAACAGAAACAAAGTAACCGACGTAATAAAATTTGGTTTCATTATATAAGTTAAAAACATTAAAAAGAATGATGAGTTACCTCTTTTATTAGAAGGCAAAAGTTTTTAGCAAATTAAAACTTAATGCAGCTTAAATGAGAAGCCATTCAGTTCTTCATATACGATTAAAATAAAGAGAGTTCATAAGAAAACATTACATACCACGACTGGAGCTGTAACTAATGGTCCAGTGTCTGCAACAACATTTTTTTGGTATTGGGGATCTCTTCCAACTGTATAGATCACCTGGGCATGTATCAACAAGAAGAAAACACCAAATAAACAATCATATCATCATTTTCAATCGATAGTTAAGGCATCTTCAAAGGTAGTTGAGCAAGTCATCATATCATCATTTTTTTTTTTTTGTAAATCAGAAAAAAGGAGCTTTTATGGAAGAGTGTCATACCAGGTTTCATATCTTAATCCATTACCTTGAAGAGTTACAAAAAAAGAAACTATTGGACACAAATAGTGTAACAACCCAAGCCCACCACTAACAAATATTGTCTATTTTGACCCGTTACGTATCGCCGTCAGTCTCACGGTTCTTAAAATGCGTTACATATTGACTAGGGAAAAGTTTCTACACCCTTACAAGGAATGTTCGTTCCCCTCTCTAACCGATGTGGAATCTCACAATCCACCCCTCTTGAAGGCTAGCGTCCTCATTGGCACACCGCCAGGTGTCCAACTTTAATACTATTTGTAATTGCCCAAGCTCACCGCTAGCAGATATTGTCCACTTTGGTCCACTACGTATCGCCGTCAACCTCACGGTTTTTAAGAGAGAGGCTTCCACACCCTTATAAGGAATACTACGTTCCCCTCTCCAACCGACGTGGGATCTCACAAATGGTGATTTTTCATTACATAAAAAAATGCTTGAAAGTAAGCTCATTAAGTTATTTTTGTTTTAATACTACTACCAACATCTAAGGCAGCAAGTGATGATCAAGCATTAACAAAGTGGTTTGGCCTAAAATGATCTAGGTTCACTACCCATGTTTCATCAACAGGAAAAAAAAAAAAAAAAAAAAAAACATTTCGGAAAAAATAAAAAGCAAAAAACAATCTAATTACTTCCAGAGTTTCAAGAATGGGAATGGTCAGAACTAAACCCTAAGAAGCAACAGACTTATATTTTATACCTAGGGAATATTACAAATAAGCTGGGAGAAAGTAAAATAAATTCATATACCGTGCTTCCTTCATTTAGAAATAGCTTTGCAATTTCAATTCCAGCCTGAAATAAGCATCAGTTACAATTGGTAAATTCAATCAACATATATATACACATACAAACACATATATTACGTATATGTTTGTTAAGAAGTTAAAGAGATATACGTAGAAGAAAGTCATAATTTTACTTCTACATGAGAATCCCCAATGAGGAAAATTTTGGCCGGCAGTAGCAGGACATTGTAAATAAAGGCATGCAAAAGAAGACATTCCTCATTCAAAAGGGAGTACAGTATTAAACAATAAAATACGTACAAGACCATTTTGAATACCTGTACCAGT